AGCCCTCCCCGTAGAGGTTATCAATTCTAGATTTAAAGCTTTCGTGACTACAAGGATCCATACTCTTTGGTTCTATTCGGTAAAGTCACGTAGGTAAAAAATAAAACAACAAAAATCACGACGTTTCGGCCACAACACAAGCGGCCTTCATCAGGTGAAGGGATTAGGCTGTCTCGAGGACAGCGCTGGAGTGAAACATAGCCACGCTCAGACCGCGGACCTTTAAGCTGTGTGCGAGGAAACAAGGTGCCTTGACAAAGGAATTAGCATAAAAATTAGCATTTGATTGGCCGACTTAGCATAGAGGTGGTGTACGTGCGGGTGGACTTGCCGTTTGGCGCGGGGGGGTTACCTATTGATGCTATGAAAATGGAATTTTTAAGAGCTGCGAAAGTTTGGGGTACCACTACTTGAAAAATATACTGTACCATTGAAAATCAGTTTAATGTTTAGTTCGATTTAGAACATCTTTCCAATGGTTGCTTAATTTGAAACCATCTTCTCGGTTGAAATTGTGTCTGTGGTTGTAGATCTGAATTGCCTCGTGAACAAATCTCTGATAAAAACCCGTGGATTTGCAGAGAACCTTGGTATCGGAGAAAATTATATCGTGATCACCCACAGCGTTGTAACAGTGATCAGCCACGGCAGAAGAATTCGTTTTGCCGTGTTTCAAATCTGATTTGTGCTCGTGAATTCGGTCAGAGACATGTCGCTTTGTCTCCCCGATATAGCAATAATCGCAGGTACAACTCAATTAACCCCGGGGTACTGTAAGTCAGGAATGACATCCTTCACGGATGGGATCAGATCACGAATTTTGTGTACTGTATGGAACCGGACCTGGATCTTGTGTTTGTTTAGAATCCTTGTCAGCTTCGATGTGGTCTCTTTGTTCACCAAGGTCCCAGTACCTGATACCATTGAAATAACTGAAAATTTGGTCCAACATGGACTAGACCCCGACACACCTGCACTGGTTAGGCACTGCCTAAACAATACCTACTTTACTTGGAATGGCTCCTTCTACAAACAAAATTAGAGTACCCCCATGGGATCCCCCTTGTCACCAGTGATAGCCAATATCTTCATCCAGACTTCCACCCTCAGACCTTCCCTGTGGAAGAGATATGTGAATGACACTTTCGTCATTTGGCCACATGGCCTCCAAGCTCTGAACCTTTTCCTACACCACATCAATTCCAGACATCCCGCCATCAAATTCACCATGGAAGTGGAGAAAGATGGCAAGCTACCATTCTTAGATGTTCTGTTTGAAAGGAGACCTGATGGCTCATTGAGGCATTCTGTCTACAGGAAACCCACCCACACAGATTCCTACTTGAAACCTGATTCCCACCACCACCCAGCCCAAAAGAATTATCTCATCAAAACTTTATACCATAGGGCTCATTGCATTTCGGACCAACACCACCTGACCAGTGAATTAAAACATGTACACCTGGCCCTCAAAAGGAATGGATACTCTGACCGTACCATCCGCCAAGCTGTTTCTCCCTCCATACAGAAACAACCACTTGATACTCCGGTCAAAACCATCACACTACCATATATAGCAGGCGTTACTAAAAAGATTTCCAAAATTCTAAACAAACACAAGATCCAGGTCCGGTTCAATACAGTACATAAAATTCGTGATCTGATCCCATCCGTGAAGGATGTCAGTCCTGACTTACAGTACCCCGGGGTTTACAAATTGAGTTGTACCTGCGGTGATTGCTATATCGGGGAGACAAAGCGACATGTCTCTGACCGAATTCGCGAGCACAAATCAGATTTGAAACACAGCAAAACGAATTCTTCTGCCGTGGCTGATCACTGTTACAACGCTGTGGGTGATCACGATATAATTTTCTCCGATACCAAGGTTCTTTGCAAACCCACGGGTTTTTACCAGAGATTTGTTCACGAGGCAATTCAGATCTACAAACACAGACACAATTTCAACCGAGAAGATGGTTTCAAATTAAGCAACCATTGGAAAGATGTTCTAAATCGAACTAAACATTAAACTAATTTTCAATGCTACAGTATATTTTTCAAGTAGTGGTACCCCAAACTTTCGCAGCTCTTAAAAATTCACTTTTCACACCATCAATAGGTAAACCCCCCGTCCCCCCCCCCGCGCCAAACAGCAAGTCCACCCGCACGTACACCACCTCTATACTAAGTCGGCCAATCAAATGCTAATTTTTATGCTAATTCCTTTGTCAAGGCACCTTGTTTTCTCGCACACAGCTTAAAGGTCCGCGGTCTGAGCGTGGCTGTGTTTCACTCCAGCGCTGTCCTCGAGACAGCCTGATTCCTTCACCTGATGAAGGCTGCTTATGTTGTGGCCGAAACGTCGTGATTTTTGTTGTTTTATTTTTTACCTACGTGACTTTACCGAATAGAACCAAAGAGTATGGATCCTTGCAGTCACGAAAGCTTTAAATCTAGAATTGAAAACTCATTCCTTTAGAACTGCTTAATCTGGTGTCCTTCCCCTCGCGGTTCGGTTAGCAAGGTTGGCTACGTACGGTGCGAAAGAAGTTCAACATACTCATCGACCTCCAATGCAGGAGGTCGTGGGTTCGATCCAGACCCGTAACGCCTGCTGCTGCTGTGTATTTGTAGTTTGCGTGTTCGCGCTCCCCGTTGCTTCACACCGTTTGTGCGATCCACAAAACCCTTGCTGCCTCCACAGCGTTGGATTACAGGCCACGTGCATTGCCAGCGCCACTCAGCCGGTTAAATTCAATTTGGACTTGGTTTGGCAGAAGTCCAGCTCCGAGATTGATTTACAAAATAAAAAAAAACCCCATCGGGTTGGCGGCCAAGAGACGAACTTTTCGCGTGGCAGGGAGAGTGGGAAAGCGCGATGCACCCTCGAACTGCGCGAGGTCACTTGAAGGGATCCCGGAGGTAGCTCTGCGACATCCACTTCCGCAGGCTGTTCTCCAACATGAACGCTGCGCTGCTCTGCGAGAGATCCGAACGGATTCTTCGTCTTGTAACGCCGACATAGACGGGATGAAACTCTGGTACCTCAAATACCACGTGCTTCGGACACTGACGCCATCTCCCTGTGTTCCACGCTTGCTACCCGGGAAAGCCTCGCAGAGTCTCACGGCTCCATCAGAGGAGGGCCCTGCCAAGTTTTCACAGTTGGGATCGGGGGAGGGGTTGCCGCTCTTGCGAGCGTGTACCACAATGTGCCACGGCGGCGAGCTGTTAACTACCTCGCCTGGCACATACAGGACCTGGGTTCGATCCCAAGCCTGACGCCTGTGTATTTGTCGTTTGCATATTCTCCCCGTGGTCACGTGGGTTTTTCTCCGGCTTCTCCGGTTTTGTCCCTCCACGTTACGAATCAACGTGCATTTAGAGTATTTGGCTGCTATGCATTTCCACGTGATAAGGCAATTTTGTGGAGCTGTCGTTTGTGGCCAGGTCGCTTCTGAAAAAAAGAGCCATTTAGCTCGGTGGGGCCTTACCTGGTGAAATAAAAAACTTTGTGTAGTTTTAATCCGGTATGTGCATATGTGCGCGTGACCATGACGTTCATGGACACTGGACACAAATTAGTGGCGTCTTATTTTCCAGAGCACCATATAATCGACGGAAACACGGTATTCAAAGCGCGGATTAACGTCAACAAACACCATGGAGACGCCACGAGACAGACACCAGGACATACATTGCCCCCCCCACAACACCAACGAGGAAGCCATTATTTTAACGATTTGTTTAAACTATTTATTTTTAACCAGAGCTATATAGCCTTTTCAGAAGTGGCCTGGCCAACAAATGATAGCCCAACGAAGTGGCTCATCGTGTGGAAATGTATAGCAGCCAAATGCTCTTAAAATCATGTTTCTAAATGTGGGGGGGGGGGGGGTAATCCGGAAGCCCCTGAGAAAAATCCACGCGACCACGGGGAGATATACAAACTCCAAGTATAGAGCAGGTGCCAAGTTTGGGATCGAACCCACGACCATCAGCACGGTTCGTGCAGCTCGAGTAGGTGGGGTGATACTCTTTGTTTTTTTTTCGGTAAAGTCACGTAGGTAAAATTAAAATAAAATGAAACAAAACAATTAAATCACGACGTTTCGGAGGCAACACAAGCTTCCGTCTTCAGGTGGAACAGTCACAGCAAGATCGCTGCACTTGATGACTTTACCGAAAAAAACCAAAGAGTATGAATCCTTGCAGTCACGAAAGCTTCAAATCTAGAATTCGGTGGGACGAATCAAATTTGCGGAAGGCGGCCACCCATTTAGAGCTACGAGAAAACACGGCAAGTAGGATCGGTGCCATCTGAGTGCGAGGGCTACTATCCCTCCTCGTCTGCGCGTGTCCGTTGGTGGGCTTTTCTCCGGGCTCTCTGGTTTCCTCCCTGCTGCGAAGATCAACTCTCATCGGATCCAATCCTTGGCCAACACACCCCAGCGTAGCAGCACCCTCCTGCGAACAAGCCTTGGGACCTGGCGACGTTGCAATGCGTAACGATGCCACCGTCAAAAGGTTTGTGTAAATATATGCGGGAGGTATTAAAATGCAGTACAGCAAGCGGGACGAGATAACGTTGTTGAAAAATAGCTGAAAAAAATGCTTGATATCGATTGCATCTCTGTTACCCTCCCGGGGCAAAGGGGGGGGGGGACTCCTAAGATATCCCTCCGATTATGGCTCTTCTGACAGCAGTGGCGTGAGCCAGCAATGGCAGGCCTGCGCCTTTACCTATTACAAAATAACACCTCATAACGACAGAAATTGGTTCCACGAAACCGATCGTGAAGGAAGTATAGGAAATACCGTACACTAATAATTCAAGAGATGTTTCCGCTTCAAAGCGCAGCAGACGCAAATCCCCAACGCTCATGAATGGACATCGCTGACTGGCAGTGGTTAGCATGGTGGCGGTGCGCTAACCACCACGCCGCCGCTCCCCACGCCCCAACCAAGCCACCAATGTCTGCACACAAAAAACATAATTACACATCATATTGTCAAATTTATTCACGTGTGAAATGGAACATCATGTAACAATTAAGTGAAATGTTTCATAATTCATACTCTTGGGATTAGATTGTCGTGGTGTAATGTATATGTTGACAGAGCCAATAAAATCAAGTTGTCAAGTCACGGGGGCCAATTGTGCCAATAGATTTGTTTTTTTTTTTCCAGCAGACTGGAGGAAGGAGTTTGCGAAGCAAAGCGACGTCGACACTGTTGTACCACGTTTTAACCGGTCACATTGAGGATCGCCGGGCGTTCCTGAGAGCTCCGCTCGATGTCACCTCCAGCGATGCGGTCGCGTAAATTTTGCCAAAAAATGTGTGGTTTGCTTTACACCCCCCCCTCCTCTCATCGCCTGGTTCGCCAAAAAAACCCGAAGCCGCTTGGCACGCGAACCCACGTGACAGCAACCCGGCTGGTTTGGCCGCATCGAGTGGTAGAGGGTACAAAGCCTCTGGTTTACTTTACGCCCCAAACGACGTGACCCATAAGAAACCGATTGCAACTGTAGGTTGATGCGCAAGACAGCTCAGTCACATCCTCTGTCAGTGCATGGCCACAAATGAACCACAATACCTCACTGATCTCGTAAATGAGCATACACCAACATCACGCAAACTCAGGTCATCCTCGCAGTAGCAGCAGCGTTTGGCTAGCCGTCGAGCCAAAGACAGTGAACCGCATGGCGCGCTTTCAGATGCGCTTCTACGGCCGTCTGGAACAGCTCTTCCTTCCGATATTAGGAAGCCACTGGAGCCATGCATTTTAAAATCAACTAGATTGAAAACTCATTCCTTGAGAAGAGCTTTTCGTGTTTAGTTTGTTGTCCTTTCCCCGGCACCTTTAGCACGGTTTGGTACTTACATACAGCTACCTCGCCTGCTACGCAGGAGTTTGTGGGTTCCGGTTCCGACCCCCGACGCCTGCTGTATATTTGGAGTTTGCACGTCACTCCGCATACAGACGTACAAATGCTGCCTCTTACACATTATTCTCTTTTAAGGCCCCACGCACGGCACGAGCATGGCGTGACGGTTATCATCGACAAACGTGTCAACTTCTTTGCGCGTTGTTATTTCAAGGCGGCGATGGCGACACCGGTGACGGTGACGCTGGCCGTCCCGGCGGTGCGGTTCGTGGTTTCGGCGATGGCGTTGTCGTTTGCGACGTCAGCGGTTGTTTCTGCGGCGCCGTCAGCCTTTTGCCGGCGACGAGCGAGCGGCGCCAGCGGGGCGAAGCGGTCCTTCCCCTCCTCCTCGTCGCTCTGGTAGAGGCCGTGCCGGGAGATGTACTCGACCACCGTGTCCGGCACAAGGTAGCGCACGCTGGCACCGCGGCGGAGCGCGCGGCGCACGTGCGTTGAGCTCAGCTCTGTGGTCACCCACTCCTACCCGGGGGGGGGGGGCAGAGGAGGGAGGGGGGCGGGGGTGACGCATTGCAAAGAGCAGTGTTTTTATTTGGGGCACCGCGGTGGCAAGATGTTAATTACCTCGCCTGGAAGTCGTGAGTTCGATCCCGACGCCTGCAGTATATTTGGAGTTTGTGTGTCTCTCTCCCCGTGGTCGCGTGGATTGTTCTCCGAGTCCTCCAGTTTTTCCCTCCACATTTAGAAACAGTTTAGAGTATTTTGCTACGATACATTTCCACGTGATAAGCCACTTTGTTGAGCTATCATTTGTGGCCAGGTTGCTTCTGAAAAAGAGCTATATAGTTCAGTGGGCCTTATCTGGTAAAATAGAAAAAGTTTCGTTTATTTAACTAGCCTGGGTCTGCAGGTACAAGATATTCTCATAACGACGCTACAGATTATTTTCAGTTGTTGCATTACATAGTTTTGCATCAAGCCGGGGTCCTTGCCGTGCTTTCCCATCTGAAAGTTCACCAGCATTGGTTGAAGCAGGCCTGGCTGAATGTCGATACTGGCGTTTGCATGGGTTTAAGCAACGCTGCTGATATTATGCACTCTCATAAAGGTCATGTTAGTTGACCAGATCCAAGGATGGGAAAGATGGGAGAGGGGATGCGGTAGTGTAGCGGTTAGCGTGCTGCGCTATGAACCTGGCGACCCGAGTTTGATGCCCGCTCATGGCCAACACCAGTGACGATTATCTGAACCGGTCCTGGGCCTCCCCTAGGTCGACTCAGCACCGTAATGAGTACCTGTTGCGGTGTGTAAAAACATCGCCACTGGGGGAGTGGTGCTGGCCACCCACCCCCTCGTGTGCAATGCCGGTCTTCATAGGTGCTCGCTAACAGCACTTGCCCCAACAGCCTGTTCAGGTTATACGGGAGATCTTTGTGTTTGTGGAGGGGGGGTCCCATCCACCCAGTCTCGCCCACCTGCACCAGGTGGATGGAGTTGCGGTGTTTCCACAGCAGCTCCGACTCGTAGATAATCTTCGGGCAGTCGTAGCCACAGCGCGACACGCACACGATGCCAAACCGGCCTACGATCTCGGCCACATCGGCCAGGTCCCAGAGGCCCGGCACTTGGAACGACTTCAGCAGGTCGGCCCCGCACAGCAGCATGACGCGCGGCTGGCCTGGCACCGGCGAACGCACGCACACGCAACGCAGTTACTCGTCACGCCACAGCGGTCCACACGGTGGCACTCTCTGGACATTGCGACCACCGACGGCGCCGAGTGAGTTGGCGGTGGTTCCCTCACCGGCCGGCGCTGTCTCGCCGCCCGTTGGCTCCATCACCGCCACCGCCGACTCCACCTGCTCCTGCTGCTCCACGCCGTCGTTGCCCGTGTGCTCGTCCCCTGTCACGGTTTTAATCCTCTTCCCCACACACCCGCCACTCTCCCACTTCTGCTTCCGTTTGGCGCCACGAGGATGGGATCCTAAGAAACGCGGGAGATGGGGGATGCGCGGGGGTGGTGGGTGTTCAAGGTCTTTGAGCCACTTGTTATATCGGTGCCACCCAAGGGTGGCATATGTCAACAAATATTTTTTTTGAAGCATTTTTTTGGTTTGTTATTCGGCGAGTGATCCCCCACCCCCCGGCCCTTTCTACGACGGTCAAAATCTCAAGACGAGGGCGAAGGTGGCGGCGGTGTTCCTTGGAGGCCTCACCATCAACCAGGTCCTCCTGTTTGGTCGTGGTCACGCCCGAAGTGGCAGCGTTGCCCAGCACAATCCCCTCTTCCAGGATGCGGTTGTGGTGGTGTCTGGGCGCAGGGAAGCGTGCGTTATTAGAAGGAGACGGTGTGTGGAGAAGCCAGTGCAGTGGAGAAGCCAGTTTCATCACAGCTCAGTCTCAGCGAATCGATGGGTCTCTATGCGAAACTGTGGGTCTCCGTGAGAGTCTATGGGACTCTGCGTGAGTGTATGGGTCTGCAGGAGTCTTCTAGTCTCTATGCAAATCTACGCAAATCTGTTTTGAGTTTATGCGCCTCTTTGTGGACTCATTTGGAAGCCTTTGGTCGCTGGGCCACCAACTCGCAACGCTTGAGAATCATATTTAATAACGACTGTGCCACCGAAACCCAGATTCAAATCCATCCTCTATCACGGTGTTCTTCATTGCAAGGCCTGTGGGCCACTGGCGGCTCCTGGTGGCCTTTAGTGTGGCCGCTGGTGGTCTATAGGGCGGCCCACGACGTACGGCCCCTGACAATACACAAAAGTGAAAACACCGCCCCATAAACATCGTACTGTCAAACCCCAATAGTTTCAAATGTGTGGCGGCCCTCGCACTGATGATGTCTTATCGGTGAAAGTGGCCCCCCTCCTGAAAATTATCGAAGAACACTGCCCGAGAATCGGCGTTGCCTCAGCATTGCTGACAGGGGTCTCTCCGAGCTGCCCATTATGAACCACGCGAGCTACGTTAATCACCACCTGAGGATCCTGACGGTTTCGAGCCAGCTGCCCTGCTCGCTCTCCCATGGGTCGGCGCTGAGCCACCCGGAGGCCGCCACGGCCTTCTGCACCATCGCCATGCGGTGAACGGTCGCGACCAGCCCGGGCTTCCCATACTCATCCCCTACAGGGGAGAGCAGCCCCTGCACCACATGGTACTGTCCTGGGACATGCCATGCGAACATGGGTCGGGGCAGGCGGGCGGAGGGGAGGGAGAGATGGACGGGAGAGTGTCATTATCAGCATTATGTTACACACCCCTCGTTATTTGCGAGCTCTGGATTGGCGAGTTTCGCATATTCGCGAGTTACTAAATGCATAGTCAGTTCTCCAATAATGCCGCGTGTTTTCATGACGCGAATTGGATATAACGCAATTAATTTATTAGGGAACGCATTTTTTATAACGCCGATGCGAATTGTACATAACGCGATTGAGTGAACAGAACTACGCCACGCGAGTAGGAATAAGCGGTTATACGGCTGCCTCTGCGTAGCATCACACAAGATGGGATGCTGCTGGTTGCTTCTAGATGCTTCTCATGCACCCTGGTCTTTGTTCAGCCTGCATACGCATCTCGCACTTTGTACCAGGAACGTAACCCCATTTGTCCTATTGGAACAAGGTTTCTGCGTTTTCAAATTCTGCAACCGCGAGTGTTTTCAAGACCGTACACCCTCGTGGTCAGAGACGGTTTATTGTCTTTAAAGGGTCTAACATCAACCGACCTACCCAACCCCAAACTCCCTGCATCACATCGTTAAGTCGTGGCACATGCCATGAGGATAGACGCAGTAGTGTAATGGGGGGGGGGGGGAAGAGTTAGGGGAAGAGTTATTCCACTGCCCTAGAGGATTATCTCTCTCGCTCTCTCACCTGTGGCCTGCAGGTGGTCGCGAGCCAACTCGAACATGCGAAGGTGCATGTTGGTGATCGGGTTGAAGGAACCGCAGGAGAGGAGAACCACGGGCACCGGGGAACCCATCCTTGCACCAGCTAGCATCGGCGGCTCAGTCACACAACCAGAAGCCCAGAGGTCTCCGTTTACGAGGAATCTGGGGACAGAGAGATAGAGAGCGCACAAGGTCAGATGACGCGTGTCACCGCTGTCTCTGAATGATCGCGGTATTGTCAACGGACGGATGCAAAACAATGATTAAAAACGAGCAGTCGCAAAGTCCGCGAAGAAATATTAAATGCTGCTGAATCTATTCTATTATTCTTTCACCAGGTGGAGCCCACTGAGCTACGTAGCTCTTTATCAGAAGCGATCTGGCCACAAATGATAGCTCAACAAAGTGGCTTATTACGTGGGAATTCACAGCAGCCAAATACTCTAAACGCACGGTTCTAAATGTGGAGGGATAACCCGGAGAACCCGGAGAAAAATCCACGTGATCCCAAAGAGAGAGAAACATGCAAACTCCAAACATGCAGACGTTAGTTGGGATCGAACCCACGACCTGTATACCAGGCGAGGAACTTAACATCTCAACACTGTGTTTTATGACTTGAAAGAAAGAGATCCATGCAGTGAAATGAATAAAGTTCAAGCCTGGACAGGGTGGAGAGTTTGAGCCATAGATTTGCCAATGGGCAGGGGAGTAACGGAGTACGCAACGAAGCCTGGACAGTCGCACATCTTGGCATGACACTGGGGCACAGGAAGAGGAACCCGCGGACCAAGAGAACACACGGAAGTTAGAGGCATCATATTGATCTTGATCAGGGGCGGAGCCAGGATTTTGTCTTTGGGGGGGGCTGACTTCAATATTCTGAGATATCCAGTGTAATGTTTTCCAATGGGCGCCACAAATGTATAAAACTAATTTTATTGGATTTGAATGCGGAATTTATTAATAGGTCGAAGCCGCTGATGTGGCTAATAAGTTTGATAAGTTCGAAAGGCTGCCGCTCAAGCAGCCTGCAGGGCAGCACAAGGTGGCAGCCTGCAGGGCAGCACACAAGGTGGCAGCCTGCAGGGCAGCCTGCAGGGCAGCACAAGGTGGCAGGCTGCAGCATTTTGCAGCAGCCGGATATCCGGTTATCCCAATTACCGACTTTCCCAAAATTTCAGGGGGGGCTGAGCCCCTCCCAGCCCCCCCCCCTGTGGCTCCGCCCCTGATCTTGATTTGAAGCTTTCGTGACTGCACGAATCCATACTCTTTGGTTCTTTCGGTAAAGTCACGTGGGTAGAAAAACTAAATAAAACAAATCGCGATGTTTCGATCGCAACATGAGCGACCGCTGATGACGACCGCTTGTGTTGCGATCGGAACGTCGTGATTTGTTTGATTTGATTTCTAACTACGTCATATTGATATTCATCCAGCAGTGGATAGACGATGATAAGCACGGAGAGATGCACGCTTGAGATTTTTTACTGACAGAATGAAAGAGGAAGTGATGGATTTGAGAACACAGTTTGGCTGTTAAGAAGGGTAGGTTTTGACGGGACACATCACCATTCGGCATGATGGTGGTGGTGATGATGATGGCCGATGGTCGAGATGAACGATGGAGTAGCAGCCAAAGGAGGGAACGCTCCATATAGGATGAACACCAAAGCGGTGGATCAGATCAGCTCACGTGCAGGAACTCGATCGATTGTAGAAACGGGACGACTGTTCACACAGCAGCATCGCCACAATGTATGTGTAGAGGTGTTAACCACGCACTGTTCGGTAACCTGCATTGCCACCAGGTATCAAGGGGGCAGGGCAGCGTTACCTCGGTGTACATAACGGTTGGGGTCAGACGAGGTGAAGTGGATCGTAGCCACAGTTTGGTAAGAATCAATCAGACAGTTCCACGTGGGAATGTGGGATTGGTTACACCTGGCCACAAACGAGTATAAGAAGGGTGAGCGCGCAGAGCGCGGGGAGTTCTCTCCCTACACGAAGACCGAAGCCCGGGCTGAAGATAGCCAGGACCCTGGACCCAGCCTTCCAGCCCTTCTGAGAGCTAAGGCTCGGCGTACCCAGTGGTCAGGACCCACCGGGCCAGCGGTGGGTCAGATAGCCTCCCCTAGGTCCCAGCCGGAGGACTCTGGGATAGTGGTAGACGTGCAAGTCCCGCCAAGCTAGGAGGCTGTACCTCCTTAGGTATCAAGGAGACCTGTGTGTAGGTTACGCTGAGTCCGGAGGCTGTACCTCCTTAGGGTGAGGGGACCGTATACCCCTCCGTGTGTTAAGGACTGTGTAAGAGAAGAATTACAATAAACAGAGTGTGCCTCATAAGAAGTTTATTCGTCTTTATAAACACTACAAATGTAATATGTTGAACTTCTTTCGCACCGTACGTAGCCATCCGCGCTGATCACAAGGACGACACCAGGCACAATATCACCACTATCTCAAACAAACATCATCACACACACAATACACCACCAAATATATATTTTATGAACTTCTTTCGCACCGTACGTAGCCAACCGCCACTCATCACACAGACGACACCACGCACGATAACACCACCACCACCTCAAACACCATCACACAATACAACCATCACCACCACCAAAATAGATATTTAACGCGTAGGTCTAGACGACTTGAGGATGTTGGGCTATTCAGCCCGACCCGCCGCTGTCTCCCCATTGCTGATGTTTTTACACTCCACACCAGGTCATCGTTTAACGCCGAGTAAACCTAGGGGAGGCCCAGGACCCGATAGGTAGCCGCGTGAACGGGAATCGTTATCGGGTCGCAGAGTTCGTAGTGCAGCGCGCTAACCACCGCGCCACCGCTCCCCACTATCACTGTGACGCAAAGACAAAGATCCCCCGTACAGGCTGAATAGACTTGGTGGGGGCAAGTGCTGCTAGCGATCACATCACACGCACCACCACCATCATCATCACAACTACAGACTGAACACACTTGGGGGCAAGTGCTGCTAGCGATCACATCACACGAACCACCACCACAACCATCATCACAACTACAGACTGAACACACTTGGGGGCAAGTGCTGCTAGCGATCACATCACACGAACCACCACCACAACCATCATCATCACAACTACAGGCTGAACACACTTGGGGGCAAGTGCTGGTCGCGATCACATCACACGAACCACCACAATCATCACCACCACCACCACAGCGCACGTAACAAGACTCACCTGTGGACGTCCCTAGAGAACAAAACTCGCCGACCCTTAATTATCGCTGAATGACCACCGCTGAGAAACTAAAGTCTCCGCTACCGGCGAGGATTGTTGTGCTTCTTTACTCGCCAAGTTTCACTTCGCTTCTTGGACTGCGTGCCCGGAAGTGTCAAATGCGGAAGTGTCGAGGGGGGGATAGAGGAAATCCCGAAACGTCGGCAATTCAAGGCCACGGCGATATTAACGAGCGAATGAATGATGAGCGTGCCTGCTCTGGCTCGGCGCACACGGGGAAATGATGAATACACAGTACACATATACGCTTCACGAATGCACCACTGCGAAACGCGACTGCGTAACCACGCACGAGTTTAATCGGAAACCTAGCGACGCGTTAGCGCTCAAAGTGTTTTAATCGGAAACCTAGCGACGCGCGAGCGCTCAAAGTGTTTTAATCGGAAACCTAGCGACGCGTTAGCGCTCAAAGTGTTTTAATCGGAAACCTAGCGACGCGCGAGCGCTCAAAGTGTTTTAATCGGAAACCTAGCGACGCGCTAGCGCTCAAAGTGTTTTAATCGGAAACCTAGCGACGCGCTAGCGCTCAAAGTGTTTTAATCGGAAACCTATCGACGCGCTAGTGCTCAAAGTGTTTTAATCGGAAACCTAGCGACGCACTAGCGCTCAATGTGTTTTAATCGGAAACCTAGCGACGCGTTAGCGCTCAAAGTGTTTTAATCGGAAACCTAGCGACGCGTTAGCGCTCAAAGTGTTTTAATCGGAAACCTAGCGACGCGCTAGTGCTCAAAGTGTTTTAATCGGAAACCTAGCGACGCGCTAGTGCTCAAAGTGTTTTAATCGGAAACCTAGCGACGCGCCAGCGCTCAATGTGTTTTAATCGGAAACCTAGCGACGCGCCAGCGCTCAATGTGTTTTAATCGGAAACCTAGCGACGCGCCAGCGCTCAATGTGTTTTAATCGGAAACCTAGCGACGCGCCAGCGCTCAAAGTGTTTTAATCGGAAACCTAGCGACGCGCCAGCGCTCAATGTGTTTTAATCGGAAACCTAGCGACGCGCCAGCGCTCAATGTGTTTTAATCGGAAACCTAGCGACGCGCCAGCGCTCAATGTGTTTTAATCGGAAACCTAGCGACGCGCTAGCGCTCAAAGAGATAGACGTCGACGCAGCGGTCCCCAACCTATTTGGCACCAGGGACCGGTTTCGTGGAAGACAAGTTTTTTTCACGGACGGGGGGGTGGTCATCATTGGGTCTTTCCCCCTTTTCAAAGAAGGTCTCCAGCGACGTCTGTTTCTTAACTCATTGTGACTACTAGGGGTCATCTTGTGGGCTTTCTACCAACACTGTGGCTGAGACAAATGCGCAGTGCGGGAAAGAGGCGCGGACGGAAGTGGTGAATAATAAAATAATCGTCGGGCCACGCGCGGACTAAAATAAGTGTCGGATTCTGAGTTCTCATAAGGAGCGCGCAACCTGGATCCCTCGCATGCGCAGTTGACAGTCGGGTTCGCGCTCCTGTGAGAATCTCATGCCGCCGCTGATCTGACAGGAGGCGGAGCTCACACGGTAATGCGAGCGATGGGGAGCGGCTGTCATCATCTATCAATAACAGATGATGATGAAGCTTCATCATGTCAATACAGATGATGATGAAGCTTCATCATCTGTCAATACATCTGTCAATACAGATGATGATGATGAAGCTTCGCTCGCTCGGCCACCGCTCACCTCCTGCTGTGCGGCCCAGTTCTTAACAGGCCACAGACCGGTACCGGTCGAGAATTGAATCATAAAAAATACGTCGATTCCCGTTCCAGTCTTCCTTATATACGGACAAAGCCACACGCCATTACTCCATATATGGGCCTAACGCATGAACATAATTTATCATTCATTCTGCGGATTCACGTGATGATCACGTTACCAGCGCGAGCGCTCTCGGAGTCGCAATCGGAAACCTAGGGATGAGCGAGCGCTCCCACTGCGATGTAATCGGAAATCTAGCGATGAGCGAGCGCTCCCACTGCGATGTAATCGGAAACCTAGCGATGAGCGAGCGCTCCCACTGCGATGTAATCGGAAACCTAGCGATGAGCGAGCGCTCTGGCTGAAGTGTAATCGGAAACCTAGCGAGGCGTGAGCGCTCCCACTGCTCTCGTAGTCAACGCCTACCGCCTCGCGACGTCGGCAGAGGGCGGGGCTACAAGGAGCAGTGGGCGGGGTTGGAGGATGAGAAGGCGGGGCCAACGCACAGGCAAAAAAATAATAAAATTAATAGACAAAATTAACAAAAATACAGAAGGAATTCGATGAGCTATAAAGCTTATACTCTTTGGATCTTTCGGTAAAGTCACGTAAAATAATAGATGTCCGGTCGGGGCAGGTAAGAACGTTACAACAAACACAAAAAACACGATAGGAGTGCAAAGTATGGGAAAGGTAAAGAAATCACAAAACAGTTTTTTGTTATTTTATCAGGTAAGGCCCACTGAGCTATACAGCTCTTTTTGTAGAGGCGATCTGGCCACAAATGATAGCTCAACGAAGTGGCTTATCACGTGGAAATTTGTAGCAGCAGAATAATCTGAATAATCTCGACGCAATATTCAGTATAACAATATCCCCATTCATAAATCTGTCCACGGAAAGTCTTTTTAGACTTGCCATCAACCATACGAACTTGTGGGACTGCTTAATTTCAGAAGCAAAATGATACGGCTTTATTTAAAAAAATTGAATAGATAAAAATAAAACAGCGCGTGTTATTAATGTTAGCAAAAACACGTATCCTTAATAACCAATTCTTAATTATTACGCATTTACCTTCTCCGAGGCATGTGTGGTAAGGCCATGCTGCAGGATCGCCTCTGCCACTATTGCTGTAAATGTCGAAGTTCTTTCGCACCGTACGTAGCCAACAGTGCTCATCGGAGGAGCGGGGGAACAACAAACTAAACACAAAAAACAGTTCTAAAGGAATGAGTATTCAATCTAGATTTAAAAGTGCATAGCTCCAGTGGCTCCCGAATATCGAATGCAAAAGCTGAGTTCCACTTTAACTACCTCGCCTGGTATGCAGGAGAGCGTGGGGTTGATCCCGACCCTGACGCCTGCTGTATATTTGGAGTTTGCGTGTCTCTCTGCCCGTGGTCACGTGGATTTTTTCTTCGGGTTCTCCGGTTATCTCCTCCACATTACACATCAACATCACGCTTTCAGATTTGGCTGCTATAAATCTCCACATAAGCCACTTCATTGGGCTATCATTTGTGACCTGGTCGCTTATGAAAAAGAGATGCTCTATAGTAGTCTATACAGTATAGCTCAGTAGGCCTTAACTGATTAAAATATATTTATAGTTTATCTGTGACAGGGTTTTTTGGCACTGGTTTTGATTTGTGTACCGTTGTTTATCCTGTTAGAATTAGGTTCTAGCGTGGGTCAAGTATAGTTTGTTTTGCTCCTGTTTGTACATTTTCTCCACCCTGCAATGATCTTGTAAATGCCGCCACTGCCGACGGCCTTGGGCTGTGATCGTCTTCGTTAACAGAGCTGATTAGCTCAATGGGGCCTTGTCAGATTAAATAATACGAGCCTAAACATCCAGCTGGAAAAAAAAGAAATTCCATCATCGTCGATGCTGTCACGTGTAAACGCGCCATTTTAAATGCTCGCCTTTGATGTTGTCATGGCGACCCAGGTTTGCACATTCCAGCCAATCACGGCCACGTGGCGGTGCGCGCAGCAACACAAAACTTTCCAAAGCATTTAGAGAAAAGTTGCTTTGAGTTGATGAATGAGTTAAATGATGACGTCACCCTGCTGCTATATTTAAGACCGGGAGCAAGTAAGGGCTTTACCATTCTGGCGAATTGCCCGATGATGCTGGATGTAATTACCAGCGAAACGTCATACTCAAACTGTAAATGTTGTGGATTCACTCAACACACCGGTGGGCTAAAGTAGTGAACTATTTGTCTTTTGTCAACGTGACACTTTTTTGCTGATTGGCCGTGTCGGGTGGTGGAGGGTTACGACACATTTATAACTAACGCGATCTAACCCAAAAACCTTTATTATGAATTAGTGGTACCTCGGAGATCGAACTTAATTCGTTCCAAAACCGTGCTCGAACATCAAATTGTTCGAACACCGAATCAATTTTCCCCATAAAAATGAATCGAAATAGCATTAATTGGTTCCCCATCCAAAGATGCTATGGGCCATTTTTGCACAAAGTTTACAATATTAAAATATAGTACAGTACATAAAAGCATACAAAAAACAAGAAACACAGGTATAATTAATAGAATAAATGAACATTGAACTTCACTTTACCTGTAGTAAGGAGAGTGGATGGCTTGAGTGGAAGGTGGTGAGGAGGGGAGGTGTCAGTGTTGCTTGGAAGGGGAGTCCCCCTCCATAAACACGTTGGGTAACTGCCCTTCTGGGGTTCTTTCTTTTCTTTGCCTTTTTTCGAGCACTGTGATTCACTTGAGGGCCTTTTTACTAAAAACTGATCAAGAGAGGATTGTTTCTGCCTCCGTTTTAAGATGTTTCTGAAATTACTAAATGCATTATCATTATAAAAATCGCCTGCTCTGCTGGCTACCGCCTTATCTGGATATTTTTCTAAAAATTGTGTAACTCAGCCCATTTTGCCACCTTTGAAATAGGGCTTTCGTGTAGAGTTTTTTTTTAAAGTTGTAAAATACCTGTTGGTCCATGGGCTGGATGAGAGGAGTGGTATTGGGGGGCAGGAACTTTACAGTGATAAAGGACGAGAGCTACGCGTAAACTGGGTCATTCGCCTTTGTCTCGGTCGCCCTGGCTACGCGTCTCGGCCCAAACAGGTTTTTCCAGTTGTTCGACCTCCGAATTTTTGTTCGATGTCCGAGGCAAAAAAAAGGTCGAAAATTTCGTTCGATCACCGAATTGTTCGAGTTCTGGGGCATTCGATCTCCGAGGTACCACTGTATTATGAAGCAACTTTATTGTCCATGATAAACAGAACACACACACGCATTGTTGGAAGCAACAATGAGGCATGCACGGGCCCAGTAAACCTGTAATGTCCAGGCCAAGTTTGGCATGTCGTTAGAACCGTTGGACCAAAGTTCGCTCAACGTGGGAGAAGTTGGACAGGACGTTCGTCTAACGGTTCCAACCACATGCCAACGTTGGCCCAACGGAGCATGTATTCTGGTGTAAAGCTGAACCGACATAATGCATATTTACACGAATCTGTTTTCACTTTAATAAAACACCACAATCTTGACTTATTAGCTTTCGTGACTGCAGGAATTCAATTTATTTGGGCCTTTCGGTAAAGTCACGTAGATAGGTTGAAAGAAAATAACAAAAAAACTACGACGTTTCGATCACAACACAAGCAATCGCCATCAGGAGAAACGCCGCTGAGGCAGACTGTTTTAAAGGTTTAAAATGGGTGTAGCCCAAGGGTCATAAACGAAGTGGGCGGGGATAGTGATGTTAATGTGAGATATTAGCATGTTAATGTACATGTTAATGTGAACGATTCGAATGTTAATGTGGCTTAACATGTTAATTTCTCACATTAACATCACTAGACCCGCCCACTTCGTTCATGACCCTTGGGCTACACACATTTTAAACCCTTAAAACAGTCTGCCTTGGCAACTTTCCTTTCTCCTCCTGATGACGATCGCTTGTGTTGTGATCGAAACGTCGTAGTTTTTTTGTTATTTTCTTTCAACCTTCAACCTATCTACGTGACTTTACCGAAAGACCCAAAGAATATAAAAACACCACAAATAAAAAAAATTCGTCCACATGATTCTTACAATGCGTGTGCGTGGTTCGCGATCGTAAGAAACAATTTCAATCGATTCACCGGTACATGCTGAGCATTCACCAATCAGCAGGCACAGGCAGCGTGTAACGATGACACTTGCATCATTTGTATTCAAGCATATTCAAGCAACAGCACAATTATACATATCTTCGTAACAATTGTATGAAACTGTAGAAAAATAACATTAATCATTAACACCATTGCGATTGATATTGCTTGCATAGCACATAATAAAACGCCAGCTCTTACGTTGTAGCTACTCAACTTGGCCTCGTTAAGAAAAACTCAAAACCACGGTTAAAATGTTCCACCACAGCTCCTCAGCTGACATCACTGCACAGCCCGTCCAGGGACGAGTTAACGTGA